GGGGTGGCCGTCCGGGGGCTGTGCTGGCCCAGTTCCGCGGTGACTCTGGTGGCCAAGTCCTCCCGCCACCTCCTCGTCCCTGCCCCCAGAGCGGAGGACACGGGTGGCAGGGGCAGGCTCTGCGTGGTGCAGCCAGCGATGGAGCCCGGGGTGTGCACAGCGCGACAGGCGCAGCCAGCCCCAGGGCCACCTGTCAGGACTCCGGCGAAACGTGCACCCACCCTAGGGCGGAGGAGCAGGTGCCCCCGCCAGCCCTGCCACCAAGCCACCTCCACCGAGAGCGGGAGGGGCGGGCAGGACGTGGAGGTGAAAGCGGAAAACTGAGCCAGGCCCGGTTCACCAGTCATCCTGGGCCCCTGCGCTCCGCTCCCTGTGCCCTGGGTTCTCTCCGGGCCTCTCGCGCGGTCAGGTCCGGCGTGAGCCGCTCCTAGGTCTTCTCCTCCCGGTCTGTCTTCCTCCGGGTCACGTTCCGGGGCTTGATTTTCAGAGAGAGCTCCCACAGGGCCTCCTCGGCCAGGTGGTCGCTGAAGTCGTTGAAGAAGCTGATGATGTCGTCGTCCCTGCGGATGTCATAGTGCCTGCGGCGGGGCGGCCACACCCTCAGAGGCTGCCTCACGACAGGGTACTTGGCCACAGCGCCACAGCACGGCCGCCCTCCGTCCTGGGCCCGCCCCACCCGCGGCGTCCCGGCACTCACGCCTGCTGGAAGCACCGCATGCTGTCCAGGATGTTGAACTGCTGCCAGCGCTTGGAGAAGTTCACCTTGCCGTCCACATAGTCAGGGTTGCCGAGGTGGACGAAGGTCAGGTCCTGCAGGATCAGACCCCTGGGAGGATGACGGAGAAGCCAGTTACCGCCGCAGAGGTCGGAGGGCAGAGGCTGCAGCCCACACCAGGGCCCAAGTGCCCAGAACGGCCCAGGACACTGGATCCCGCCATGTGGACTCCGTGAGCCCTGCAGGCGCCCAGGTGCCAGTGCAGGCCCCGAGGCTCTCTGGGAGCAGAGCTTTAGGAGGGAGCCCTGCTCTGCTGGCACCGTGACCTGGAAAGAACCGCCGAGTCCTGAGACCGAGGCCAGCCAGGAGGTGGGCAGCACCCGGCACCGAAGGAAGAAGCGGGTCCGCGGCACACTCTGTGGCCAGCACTTCTGGGCCCCAGGGCTCCCGGGCTCCTGCCCCTACAGTAACTGTGCAGCCCAGCTTCGAGGGGCCCTCACTCACAGGTACGGGATGCACGGGGGCTCCACCTCCGAGAGGGCGGCCCGATAGGCGCGGAAGGAGGACGAGCTGTCGATGAGCGTGCAGTACTCAGCCAGGCCCTGAGCGGGAGGAGGGCAGGTGTCAGGGAGCCCGGGTCCCCAGCCTTTCCGCACCTGCTTGTCCTGCAGAAACCCGCCAAAGGCCTTGGGAACCAGGTGCAGGATGTGAGGCCCGAAACCACCCGCCAGGCCGGGATGGAGCCGGCACCCAGGGAGCGCATGGTGGCCGCTCTGCGCCCACCTCTGAGGTCTGCTTCTGCCACTCCAGCCTGCGGATGGGCGCGGAGTCCAGCGCTGAGAGGATGGCCAGGTAGGAGTTGAAGTTGTTCAGCTTCCGCAGGTGCTGTGGGGCAGAGACCGTGAGGACGGCACAGGGCCGGCCCATCTTTTCTCAACGGCCTGGGCGCCCTGGGGTTCAGCACTGTTACCTTCATGATCTTGATGAACTTTAAGAGCAGCCTCTCCCTGTCCTGTGCCTTCTCCTGCAGCATGATGATGGAGCGGACCCTGCAGGAGTGACAGTGCTGAGCTGTCGCCTGCGGGACCCGGTGTGCCCGGCAGGGGTGGGATGGGCACGAGTCCTGGGCACCCAGCCGACCTGCACGCCCCCGCCAAAGACTGGTCTCTGCTCGAGGGGCCCAGGGGCCCGCGGCAGAGGCGAGCCGCCCGCGAGTATCACCAGGAGGGGTCCTTCCCAGCCCTGGGACTGGGTGGGGACCAGCAGCCACTACGCAGCCACTGCACCGGGTCTCTCAGAGCCCAGAAGTGGCCTGGGCCAAAAATGCAGCCAGAACAAAGGCCAACCTGGTCAGTGCCTTAGCCTCCCGCGGCTCATGGGGCCCCAGCAGGGTCACTCAGGAGGCACCACACTCTGCCCCGAGCCTCCGCCCATGACAGGCGCCTGCCCCAGGGACCCCAAGTCTCCGGCACTCAGTGGAGGACGGTGCACCTGGAGGCTACACCAGGGCACTCAGGCAGCTTCCATCTTTCCCAGGATTCAGCACCCGAGCTGATGCCAGCTCAGGTGCTGAGCACGGACACCGAGGGGCTGTGCCCAGGGAAGAGAGGCGGGCATGGATGCTCTCTGCCTCTAACAGGTGGGCCCGGGGCCTCAGAAACACTGCAGTCCCTGGGGCAGGTCATGAGAGCGGGGCCTACTGCAGTGGGGCATGGCTGCCCGGCTCTGTCCCCACAAAGAGGCCTGGGCCAGGAATGCACTGCTGGGTCAGTCAAGGCCACAGAGAAGGACTCACAGAACCGCTCTACCCCGGCCGGATTCCTGTTGGGCATCAGGGTGAGGCCCAGGCGTGAGGGTGGGACGTCACTGGCAGGCAGAGGGCGGGCGCTAGGAATTGACCCAGGGAGCCTCTAGTGCCCCCGCGGCCCGTTCTCCTGTGACCATGCTCTGCCCGTGCGCCGCTGTGGGCTCAGTGCCCCGGGCCCACTGAGGCCTTGGTGCTGCCATGCAGGACAGCAGAGCCCGCGCAGCCTCACCAGTAGGACATGTTGTTGAAGTGCTCCGTGAACTGGGTGAGGTTGGGGCTCTTCTCCTCGTTCTGCTCTTTTGCCCAGAGCAGAACCTCGGGAATCTGTGGGGGAGACAGGCCAGACAGCACTGTGGCGCCGGCTCTCTGGGAGCGGCAGGAGCCAGAGCTGCCCGGCCTCCCTACCTCTATCTTATAGAAGAGCTCAGCGTCCAGCAGCGTCAGCTGCTCGGCTATCTCGTGGCTGTGGAAGTCATGCAGGGTCCCGGGCCTGGAGGACAGAGCAGACAAGCGTGGTCAGGGCCAGGTGCAGGGCAGGTACGGCTGCAGGCTCTGGGGTGGGGAGCTCCACACTGCTCCTCAGGCCCCTAGGCACAGGGCTCTCCTGGGACAAGTGCCTGCCTCACTCAGCCCTGCAGGCTTCCTCCTGAGCTCACGGACACCTCAGAAGCCCCTGAGCCCCCGAACCTCCTCCGGGCAGCTGGGAGGGCAGAGGTGGCGGTCAGCTGAAGGCCAGCACTTACTGAGCAGCAGGTGGTCACCCGGCCCGCCTGCAGCTGGGGCTAACACCACCCTTGCGGGGAGAGGGTCAGGTAGGGATGGTCAGGATGGCACAGGAGGCAGCACCGGCCCCTGGAGCGTCCCCACAGCCCAGGCTGACCATGGCCCGGGACTGCTCCTCCAGCCCCACTCAATAAATGTCGCCTCCCCACAGGGCGTCCCGGGACTCCTCACCTGGCCGCGACGCCCCTGGCTGCCAGGGGCTGGTCGGAGTTGGCACACCTGAGCAGCTTCTTCTGGTCCACCTTGTCCAGGATATTCTTCCGCAGCACGCGGGCCAGGCTGAGCTCCCCGCTGCACACCAGGCGGAAGACCAGCTCCATGAGCAGCTTCAGGATGTCCTCTGTCAGCTCCACCAGGCTGATGGCCAGGGCACAGTGTGAAGGGGCGGGCACGGGGCCAACCGAGGGGCCGAGCTGGAAGCCCCGGGCAGCTGCTCCATCCATGCAACCCTGTCACTCACCCAGCTTGCACTGTGGGTCACACGGGCCACACAGGCCTGGGCTATGGGTGCAGGCGTGCCGTGGGGAGCTGCTGGCCTCACTCAGGGCCCTCAGGTGGGTGCCCGAGGCCGTCTCCCGTGCAGCAGCCCAGCGCTGGCATCTCGCTTCCCCTACTGCACACGGGAGGGAGGTGTGGCCCTAACACCTGCCACCATGCTCTAGGGGACAAACCACTCTGGGGCCTTGATGCGGACAGGAGCTGTCTGGTGGGCAGGGTGTCTGGAGTCTGCACTGGGGCCGCCCCAGGACAGGCGAGGGTCACAGGGTCACATATCCCACAGGGAAGCCCGCCCAGGCCAAGGCCAGAGCCGTCCCGGCCCCCAGACGGGGCACTCACCAGAGCTCATCCACCACCCGCACCAGCACGAAGAACGTGTTCTTGCTGACTCGCTTCTTGAACGTGTCGGCGAAGGGCGAGAACTTCTCGTATGTGCAGCATGGGTTAAGGAAACGGTGCACACAGAGGGGGACATGAGCAGGGGACTGCGCTGCGCTTGCCGAGTGCCTGTCACGGGCCGGGAGCCTCATGGGTGGAGCAGCAGTGCCCCAAGCCAGGGGCCACCGGCCCACGGGCTGCTCTGACGGCTACCATGATGCCCACCTGCAGGACTGCACTCCATGGGGCCAGGCTTCCTGCCACGCCCGGCCCTGTGCCCAGGGGCTGCGATGCTGAGCCTCAGGAGGATGGGGTGGTCCCCAGGTCCCAGGTGGGCACATGCTGGGCACTCCCCTCCACCTTTCCAGAGTGTCCATCCTGGCACTGTCCTTGGTGTCCTCCTACCTGAGGCAGGGATCCGGAGCTTCGCATCCCACCCAGACCCTCCTAATGCTGACCCGCCTGCTCCCCGGTAACCTGGGTGCAGTCAGGCCCAGGAGGGTGTG